TCCTCTCAGCTTGCTCTCTGGCCACGGTGGCTGCGAGCCATGGGGACCTGGCGCCTGGGTGGGGTGCGCGCCCTCAGAGCCAGACCTGGCACGGGTTGGGGCTGGCTCTCTGCCTGCCTCTCCAAGCCCACGGTGCATCCTGTCCCCAGGTGTGCTCGTCAAAGTGTCTCTGATGAATCACAACAAGTTTGTCAAGTGCAAAAGGACTTCGGCTGTGCTGGGCTCTGCCAACCCCGTGTACAACGAGACCTTCAGCTTCAAAGCCACCGCCACGGAGCTGGACACCGCCAGCCTCAGCTTGATGGTGCTGCAGAGTGCAGAAGGCGACAGTAAGGCTGCTCCCATCCCCCGGGCTGTTGGGGTGACAGGCAAAGAAGGGGTGTCCTGACCTCTGAAGGAGTTGCACAGTCTCTGGCTCTGGCCAGGAAACCAGGCTCAGGGAGGCTGCGATGCTCGCCAGCATGAGTCCCGCCGCTCCCTGTCCGCGGTGCCCTAGACAGAGTTAGGGAGGCCTCTGCCCACCGGGCTGGTCGCCGCACATGCCTGAAGGTAGCCCAGGGCGTGGGCCCTGTGCCCTGTGTTTTTCATGCCTTCCCGACGAGCCCGCAGGGCTCCACTCGGTTCTCCTGCACTGCCCCAACCCAGAGGCCACTGCCATTGCCAGGACAGCAGAGCTGCTGGCCACGGACATGGGTCGGAGTCGGTCCACCCCACAGAGGCGCTGGTGGGCCAGGGTACTGCTGGAGGGTCGCGCGAGGGGCAGCCTTCCTTCTGCTGGGGCTCTTTCCTCCCTTGGCTTTGCCATGAGGCCAGCTCGCTATGGCCCTCCAGAAGGGTGAGGGCAGAGTAGGTGGCCCTGAGAGCCAGGCCCTCCACTCAGGCTCCCCTCCCCTGACACCTGCCGAGGACACAGTGGCCCTTCCAGCTCCTGAGCCAAGTCAAGGTCCTTTGGGAGCTGTCAGCTCATACTCAGGAGGAGAGAGGGAAGGGGAAGGAGAGAGGGTGGTATCACTGAGAAGGTGCCGGTGCGGGGGACCTGGCTTCCGCGCTTAAGAGTCTCCTGGTGCTCCCCTCCCTGCAGAGAGCCTCCAGCTGGGCCGGGTGGTGGTGGGCCCCTACATGTACGCCCGCGGCAAGGAGCTGGAGCACTGGGACGCCATGCTGAGCAAGCCCAAGGAGCTGGTGAAGCGCTGGCATTCGCTCAGCTGTCCCACCGAGCCCTGACCGGCCCCAGGACGTGCCCGCCGTGCTCACAGGTGTGCCTGACAGCCACAAACATCACCTGGCTGCCAAGCTGGCCAAGCAGAGGGACGTGAGTGCTGATGTGCAGGGCAGAAGGGGACAAGGAAGGCCTGGCCCGTCAATGCCTGTGGCCAGGGGACATTCCCAGCATGCCTCACTTCCTGACCTGTGGGGCTGCCTGGGCTTGGAATCCTGGCTCCTGCTCATCAAAGCCCTGACCTGGACCAGAATCTCGGGTGCTCAGAAGGAATGCACTGTTCAGTGACAGCATGGCTGTCTGTGCCGGATGGAAGTGCAGGGGGAACGGGCATGGCCATCCTGGAACGCTGATGTGCTGACACTAACCCACGCTCTGCCTTCTGCCTGGCGGGGAAGACGCTGCTCTGCAGGATAACAGAACAACGGAGGAGGCAGTGAGCAGCCCGCTCAGGTACCACACAGTGGACGGGCTGGCAAGGCAAGGTCGTGCCGCAAGGTTCTCCCTGGGTCTATGGCAGACCCCACCCACATCAGGCCAAGTCTCGCCTATAGCCCGCCCCAGAGTGCAGAACCTCATACCCCATCTTGCAGGCATCCTGCTGTTGGTGTCAGTGGGCCCGTGGTTAACACAGATCAGTTCCTGGGGGTCTTGCACTTGGGGTTGGAAGCAGTGAAAGCACTTCCCAGGCCGTGAGCTTCTCCTGTAAACCTCTGGACTCCAGTGTGACCACTGTGCTGTGGTAGGTGTCAGCGAAACACTCTAAGGTGGCATTTCCCACAGCTGCCAGTTCACCTCCCGGTTGGGACACCCCAGCTGAAGAGAAGCCATGTTTGTCACTAGGACTATAACAGGTATTTGTGTTTGCATCCCGGTGGAGGAGCTCTCAGGGAAGGCTCTGTCCCCACATGACTAAGACAAAACTCTGAGCCAGCAACTCTCTTTTTCAAACACAGTGAAGCATCTCAGTAAGAGAAGGTGGTGACTACTATGCTGAGATTATGCCTCTTCAGTTTCACCTCTGAGCTCTGTCAATGCACAAATGCAAGGTTAGCTTGGCAGTTGTCTATAGGGGCAGAATATCTTGTGTTTGCTTTTCCTCACCTATTTCACTTCACAGTTTCAAGTTATCCACAAAGCTGCAGCGCCTAGTGGCTTCATAGCATGTACATAGCATGCACATAGTAGGAGTCCTCTGCATAATCACAGAGCAGGCTACTGAAACGGAGCTGGCAGCCCGATAGGTGTCAACCACCTCCACATTCTAGGTGAGATCCATCACCAGCAGCGGCCTTTCTAGGGCCACTTAGAAAAGTCAGTTAATGTCTTCTTTAAAAAACAGAGTGAACTGCTGTAGCCAACTCATTTCTGAAAAGTCGAAATGGCAAGAGATTAGCAAGTTTTCTGCTCTGATAGGGAAAAAGAAGGGTTGCTCCCCTGCCTACAGATGTGGTCAGTGCAAGAAATACCCTCAAGCTTCCCATGGACCAGAGAGCGGGCCTGGATTGTCTCAGATCTTGTCCACAAGATGTCTCTGGAAGAAAGGAGCACCCTTTGCATTTCCATAAAATATGTTGGAACCATTGGGTCAATTTCCTAAAAATAAAATGTTTAGAATTGGATTGGGTTTCATTGACTTTGAAAATCATTTGGGGCATCGACATGATCACAATATTGAATCTTCCAGTTCATGAACATAGTATATCTTGTTCTTTCTTTAGGTCTTTTATAAGTTTCTTAAAACTGTTTTGTGTTTTTCAGCAAAGTGTTTTTGCACATCTTTCATTAGATTTACTCTTAGGTGTATTATATTTGTTTGTTGCTAGCATATACAAACTTTATTGCTACAAAAGGGTCTTGACTTCATATCTGTTGCATGACCTTGCTAAATTCATTTATATTGTAACAGATTACAGATTCTTGTATATAACCATATCCTTTCAATGACAGTTTCATTTTTTTTCTTTTCTCAGATATTTTGCCTTATCTCTTACTAAATTGCAGGAATTGAGAAATTCCACAAGCATTTTTTATTCTCTCCTGCATTTCTGTAATTCTCTCTTAGGTGAGTTCTTTCTACCTAAAGAGCTCCCTTTAATATTTTTTTTAGCAGAGAAGTTCTGAAAGTGGAATTTCTCAATTTTTGAAGAAACATCTACTTCAAACCCTTTGTTTTTGTTTGTTTGTTTTTAAGAGAGATTTTTGCTATAGGGTGGATGTGCTCATCAGAGAGACAGGAAGAGACAGAAGGGAAATCATCCCCAAGGGGGAGTGGCCATGCTGCAGCCTTATCCGCCATTCTCCTCTCAGGATTTTGGGCTTGTGCACACACCTGGCATGGGTTTCAAGCTGCCAGGTCCGGCACTTGAACTGCAATTGACTACATGAGAGTCCAGCTCCTTAACCACTACACTATCTGGTGGCCCCCTTTGATATATTTGTAATACTCTGTCTCTGTTCTTCAGCCTAGAGTGTTTATACTGCTCTATGGTACAATTCAATAAATCTTTCCTTTGCTAAGTCTAATTGTAGCTAGCCCATATGCTGTTATTTGTTTCAATTTCGTATTTCTCAGTTCTAAATTTCTATTTCATTCCTTTGTAAAGTTTGTAGTCCTTTAATGAAAGTTTCTATTTTATCAATCGACTCTGTGTCTGATAACACCACACCTGGGTCCCTAGTGTGTCAGTATGTTCTTCCCTCTTGTCCTTATTTCTGTGCTCGATAATTAATTGTTGAATGCTGACCATTAGATAATTAGAGATGGGGCCAGCCAGTAGCATGGTGGTTAAGGCATCTGATCCCACAGTTCAAATCCTGAACCTGGTGGCTTATGAAAGATGCCGGGCCCATGTGTGTGCATGCCCAGGGTCCCAAGAGTCGAATGGAGTAGAACTGTAGCATGGCTATCCCCCCTGAGGGGTGCTTTCTTACCTCTCCCTCCCCATCTCTCTCTTGTGAGCATGTGCATCCACTAATGAACTTTAAAAAGATAGCGGCTCCAGAGACATTATTTATCTGTTTAGAAGGCATATACTGTCTTTCTCCAGAGCATTTACTACGTCTCTGGCAGGCAGAAGGAATGGGAAGAGGTCACCTTAATCCAATTAGAACTGAACTCATCAGAGTCTGGACTGTAGTTTTATAGGACTTTGTCTGCAGCCCTGGCTTGCCCTGTTTCTAGAGTGTAGTCTTCCAAGGATCCCAGCCGAGAGCCTGCTGTGATCACTAGGCAATTCTTCCTTGGAGGATACTAAGCTCCATTTTTGTAAACATTCATTTATTTATTTACCTATTTATTTGTTGTAATTTTCAGCCTGCCAGGTCTGGAACTTGAGCCATAGTCGGCCATGTGGGAGTCCAGCACCTCAACCACCACGCCACCTGCTGGCCTTAGCTGAACTCCCATTTTTATCTCACCAGTATCATGATGTTGCCAGAAACTACCTTCCATTGGCCTTCTGCTTAGCTTAACAATTCATCAAATGTTTTCAGGGGGAAAAACACAAAGTATCAGAATTACTCTTCTGTGTCTCCCTTCTCTCTGACATCTTCCACCCTCCAGGCCCGGCTGCCTTGGCAACCTCACTCTCCAGTTTCTTGTCACTCAAGCTCCAGAGACCCTCTGCCTTTTCTGCCTCTGAGCTGTGGCCCTGGACCCAAAGTCTCAGCCTCTTAAGGACAATAAGCGAATTTCCTGAAGGGAAGCTGGGCTCAGAGTGCAGCTCGCCTGCTGTGTTTTCCTTCTGAGCTCACAGCCTCCAGATGCTCCTCAGCTTGGCCACATTTCAACAACTTCTAAAAGAGCTTTTCTGTTTTGTATTTGTCCTTTCCAGTTGTTCTTGGCATGAACATTGGTCTCCCTCAAAAGAAAAAGAATTATTTTCTCAGAATTCTTTTCCCAGCCTTCCTAAGATCTGTGTAATCTATTTCCCTGTATTAAAATATCACTCTTTGCAAAGAATTCTCAACAAAGACTGATTTTCTACAGGAAAGTAGATCACACAGTTCTTGAGAGGACTAATGAAGCCAAAGAGGGAACAGGTGCTTGTATCAGTCAGCTACTTTGCTAGTGGTGCATAACAATCACGACTTCAGTGGCATGCTAAAATGAGCGTTCATGACTTATACTTCTGGTCAGCAGGGGTGTGGGCTGCTCTAGGGTGGGCAACTCACTTTCAAGCTGTGGCTCTGGCTTGGCTTCTCGCCCAGGCCTGCTCCACATTTGTTTATTCTCACCACAGGCTGAAGGGGCAGCAGCTACCCAGGGAAAGCTCTCTCCATGGTGAAGGCAGAAACAGAGGGCAACCCTCAATGTGCAAATGTGTTTCCACCTTCTGCTTGTGTTGTGTCACCTCATATCCCACTGTCCTGCTGTGTCGGGGCTATTACACGGACCTCGCCCATGAGCACTTCTGCACACGTGCATCCGTGTGCACGCACATTCATTACGGGAGGAGGGTGGCCTCGGAAGTGTTGACAGGTCATAGGGTTTGCACATCTTCCAATAATGGGTGAAACCAAGCCTTTCTCCAAAGTAGGCGGACTGGCGTGTAGTCTCGCAGGCAGCTGGGAGGGAATGAGGGCCCCTACTGCCCAGCCCGCAGCCACACCTGGTGGGTCGGCCGTTCTTTTTAGTACCTTCATCTAACTTGCATTCCCTTGATGATTGAGATAAATTTTAACTTTAATTTTTTTTATTGCCAGAGGGTGCATGCACTTGCCAGAGAGAGAGAAAAATAGAGGGAATAAGCACCCTCTGATGGGGCATGGTCACTCCAATCCCTTATCCTCATCTCCATCCTGTTGAGATCTGGGATGTGTTCACACATGGGCCCAGCATGTCCTATTCAAGCTGTCTGGGCTCAGATTCAAACCGCAGTCAGCCTGCTGTGCATGACCAGCCTCTTCACCGCTTGGTCACAGGGCAAGCCCCAGACAGCTCTGCATATGCTAACTGGTCCGACCCATGGGCTCCTTCCTCGTGAGGTGCCCTTTTGTGGCTCTTGCCTTTTTGTTTTGTTTTGTTTTTTTTGTTTGTTTGGTTTTTTTTTTTTTGCTCCCTATTGGGATATTTGTGGTTTTACTTGTAGAAGTTCATTTCATGTATACGGATTACACATGTTTTTCCTATTCTGTGTTTTTTAATATCTAATATATTTTCTGGATGATAATCTACTGCCGTTTTGTGGCTTTTTAAATTTTTTTAAGAGAGAGATTTTTGCTATAGGGCAAATGCACTCGCCAGAGAGCCAGATAGAGACAGACAGAAAGTGAGAAATCACACACACACACCACACACCCCCCGGGGATGGCCACACTGCAATCCTTTCAGGATCTTGGGCACGTGCTCACAAATGCCTGGTGTGAGGTTTAAGCCCCCGGGTCCGATACTCAACGCAGTCTACATGGGAGCCCAGCAACATAACCCTTGCGCCCTCTGCTGGTCCCTGCGGCTTTCTTTTTAATGTTAATATTGTTCAGTGAGACCGTCTTTTCTATTAGAGCTTTCCAGTCCCTGCTAGTCCTGCCATCCCTGATCACGCAGTCTCCTACACCATTTTCTGGGACCGTTAATATTTTGCCTCTCACAGCCTGAATCCACTTGACATCAGCATTTATTTAAGTTACCCCATAAAGATACCCAATTACCCCAGCACCACCCACTGGTCTAAGGTAGCCCCCAGGCCCTCCACCGGTCCAGTTCCTGTGGGCTGGGCCTTGCCGGACCTTCTGCCTCTGCTGGGCTCCCTTTGCTGCTGCTGAGTGACGACTCAGGAAGGTCGCACCTGCCTGAGCAGCGCCTGGCTAACTGTCTGAGCACTTCGCATTTTCACAGGAATTCACAATCAGCTTGCTAAGGCCCTCCCACTCTCCCTAAAAGCAGGCCCACTGTGATTTTGATTGGGATGGAACTGAGGTTATAAATCATTTCAGGGGAGCACTGCTGTCTTTAAAATACTGAGTCCTCTAATCAGCCAACCCTGTGTCTGAACGACGATGTTTGGATGTTTGTGGTGTGACGTGGAAGGGCTTTGTATCTTGTTCATTAAAGGAGTCTCTAGACATCTCATTTTTTAATGCTATTGTAATTGTATTTTTTTATCTTCTCAGTCACGGTAATATATGGAAATAAAGTTAATCTTCTTACTCCGACCTTAAACTCAGAACCTCTTATCATTAATCTCTATAGCCTTTTGAGCTTTTAGTATACCTGATCTTAGTTTTCTGTCCTAGTTCAGGTTTTTGCATAGGGCACTTGCACTTGCCAGAGGGAGACAGAGGG